AAGTCGGTGACTGATCTGCCTCACCTGGGAAGAGCACAGTGATGGTGTCAACTTGCGCCAGTGAAGCAACGTCCTCCACAACTAGACTGAAGAACAAAAGGACAGCAACTTGTCTGTTCCCCTTCCCCCAATTCCCCAGCGCTGTTCCCATCCCCCAATTCCCCAATAAAAATCTTTAAGAAAAAAAAAAAAGAACGTACAGCAACATAGTGGAACAAAAAATGGACAATAGCCGCACTGAAAGAATTGCTGGGGAGATCAGCTTAGTGGAGATGTCTGGAGGAAACTAGAAACAAAAAAGAAGTGTGGGAACTATTAGTGTCAGACATGAGGCACACACCATCGTGGTCCTCAGTGACCTGCTATGCAGAGAACCCTCAACAGCCCTCACCACAGCCATACTCCCAGCAGCTTTCACAGGGAAACATGGGCCCCAGCAGCCGGCTCCACAGAGAAACCTGGGCAGCTTTCATCACCAAGGTAACCAATAGCCATCACTGCTGCAGAGCTGGGAAGAAGATGCTGCTGTGTCCACTCCAATAAGGAACTGCTGTTGTGCTTCCGGGGGCCCAGGACCACCAGCACCTTCCAGCCCTGCGCACGCCCAAGTCCAGAGCTATAGTGCTCTGCCTGCTCCCACACTCCACGTCCTGGCTCCGTCTGCTCTGTGAGCACTCAAGATCCAGATGCCAGCCCTGTGCTGCTCCCTACATGCCCACATCTCAAGAATCAGGGTCAATGCCACTACAGACTAGCCAGCACCCTAAACCCAAGAGCCACTGTTACTCTGCATGTGCCCATGCTTCAAACTCTGTTTTCGTGGCCACCTCGCACACACCTGCATGTCACACATCATTGCTGCTGCAGGGAAACCAGCGCACCAGACCCCAGAGCTGCTGCTGCACTGTGAGCACTGGCACTCCAGTCCGTCTCCATCACCACTCCACAGATGCCTCCACATCAGACACCTAGCACTGGTGTGGGCGCCTGCAAGCTGGACCTAGCACCCAGAGGGATCCCCTCCACCACGACATCCCCCATGGGAGAAAAAGAGATCAGGTAGTCCCTGAAGCTTTCACTGCTGCTGAAGACAACTGCAACCTTGGACACTGAGGATCCCTGCAATCTTCCAACAGTAATCTCAGCTGATAAGGCCACATGGAGACTACACTGCTGGTAGTTTTGAGTGTCTTCAAAATTTGAAAAATAAACCTATCGTATGATCTGGCAATCCCACTTCTGGGTATATATCTGAAGGAAGTGAGATAGTAATTAGCATCTTGAAGAGATGTCTGCACTCTGCTGTTCACTGCACTATTCAAAACAACCAAGATATGAAAACAACCTAAGTATCCATCAATGGATCAACAAATAAAATGTGAGATAGATATGCGTGCACACACAAACACACATACACACAAAATGACAGTATTATTCAGTCATAAAAAATAAGGTAATCTTGCAACATGGATGAACCAAGAGGGCATTATGCTAAGTGAAATATGTCAGAAAGATAAAGTCAAATATTGTATGACCTCAGTTATATCATATGTGGAATCTTAAAAAAAGCTGAACCCAGAGACAGAGAGGATGGTAGCTGCCCAAGGATGGGGGGTAAGGGAAACGGGGAAATGTTAGTCAAAGGGTACAATAAATTTTAGTTGTAGGGTGAATAAATTTTGAGGATCTAATATACAGGATGGTGACTATAGTTAATAATTCTGCATGGATACTTGAACTTCGCTAAAAGTAGATGTTAAACATTCTCACCCCAAAAAAAGAAATAAAAAACAAGGTAATTATGAGATGCAGGATGTATTAATTAACTTGATTATAGTAATCACCTCACAATGTATATGTACAAGTATATCAAATCATCATGTTGTATACTTTAAATATATAGAATTTATTTGTCAAATACCTCAATTTTTTAAAAAAAAATTAAAGTTAGCTGATGTATAACAGATGTTCACTATGTTTTATATATAGTTATGTATAAAAATAAACATAAATGGGGGTGGCCGGTTAGCTCAGGTGGTTAGAGCACAGGCTCATAACACCAAGGCTGCCAGTTCGATCCCCACAAGGACCACTGAGTTGCACCCTCCACAACTAGATTGAAACAACTACTTGACTTGGAGCTGATAGGTCCCGGAAAAACGCACTGTTCCCCAGTAAAATTTTTTTAAAAAAGGGAAAGTCTTTTAAAGAAAAATAAATAAATAAACATAAATGTATATAAAAATTAAAATATATGTTTATATAAAGTTTTTAAGCTGCTCTTTGATGTTAATTCGATATTTTTCATACCATGTAAAACAACAAAATTTAAAATTTTTTTGCTTTATTTTCTTTCTGTCTAGTCTCAGTAACCTGATAGCTTTGTAGAGTACAGTTGGTTTTAAATTTATATCAGTAGAATAAAACAATGAAATGTTATTTGCTAAGAGGAGATAACATTTTGAGTTTTTATACTTTTTTCCGAAAGTAACTATTACTAAGTAACTACAGTTCCAAATGGTTTTCTGCTTAAAACATTTAAATCCCTAGGACAAAATTAGGCCTACTAGAGATAAACATATCCATCAATTTTTCTCTGGAATTCTCGATAAACACATTATACATTCTCCCTAGTGAGCTGACATTTCAAGCAAACGTAAATCATAATCTTACCTCTAAATGGTGTAGTCATAACCCTGAACATATTAATAAGTGAGTTACATAAAGCAATTTTCAACATTAATATAAAATCATCTATGAAATTCTCATAATTATTTTTACTAAAAGTAGCAGTATGAGTTAAACATATGTTCAATTTCACAAATCAAAAATTTATACAGGAGAGTCAAGCACTGGTAAATGTTCCAACAACAAAAAAAGACCCTGAATATTGGAGATGATAGTCATCTTCTTTGGATAAGTCACTCTGTGGCCCTAATAATTCAAAGATATTTGTAGATTTTTAATAAGCTAAAAGTTACTTTGAGGCTTTAATAACAATTCAAAAAGGCATTCTATGCTGCCCAAAACAGGCATTTTTGTAATCTCCATTACATGACCAATATAAAATGATATGAGATATGAACTCTTTAAAGTGCTGTCCTATTAAATCCTGAGATCATTTCTAGTGCTAGTTTGACCATTGGGAGACAAGTTTAAAAAGAAAATTTTATGTTCAGATCTCAGGCATAAAAAAAAAACCCACAAACAAACAAAAAAACACTAAAAGTATAGCTTATTGAAGCAAAAAAGAGCTCTGCAGAGGATCAGAAAAATATCTTGGCCAATTCAGAGTAACAAGTCAGACAGAGAAATGTAGCCAGTGCAAAGAAAGGGTGGCTAACTGTCCAGATGCATTTCAATACTCAAATGTGCACTCCTGGTATAACTTCGGTCATTTTATGCAAAAGTTAAAAATACAATGCAGATATAATAATAAAAATATGAAGCATTCGGAGCCCACTGGGTATTGGCTTTTTGGCGAAAGGCAGGGCTTTATAAATATAAATACAGAAGCCAATGTAAATATCTGTGATCATTATATAATAGACATTTTCCTTTAGTAATTTCATTGACGTTAATGATATCCATATATATTTTTACACAAAGTTTTCTATATTTGTACAATTCCTAGTATATTTTTAACTCCTCAAATATATTTGGGAATCATTCCAGACCACAAGACTCTGAGGAATTGCAGAATTTATCAGACTGACGTGTCAACACATATGAATATAGAGCTATACAATGTTGTTTTTATTCAGCAAGCATGTCATAAACAAAATTTTCTGGTTTACGATGGTAGGTAGATGAAGGCAATTAAAGTAAGTCTAACTGTAAAAAAATAAACTCAAAAACTTTAACTCTAAACTCAGTTAACGGGGTTTTGTTTTTTTTTAACTAAATTCACATTATTTTACTTAAGATTCTGGGTCTAAATAATCTCATTCCATACACTTTATACCCCCTCCATAGAGTTAAATGTAAAGTCATGAGCACACTACAGATGAAGTATATGTTAAATACTGCCTTGAAAATTAAAAGAAATAATCAAGAAAACAAAGGCTAATCCATTTGGCCAAGATAGAATGATGATTCCATTTTGCTTATTGTTGTTTGTTACTGCTTTCATTTTTAAATGCTGGTAAGAAGTCAAAAGACAAACTTATCTTAAAATGATTTAAGCATGCTTTGAACCAATCATAACTAGAATATTAAAAAATGAAGACAAACAGCATAACATAAAGAAGAATCACCTGGGTTTGAGACCTGTTCTTTCACTTATTAGCTGAATGATTTTGAGCAACTTAAGTGTTTTGAACCAGTTTCCTCATTCTTACATGGGAAAAATAATAAAAATACCTACCTCACAGATTTCTTAGAGAGTAAGTAATAAAATGTATCTAAATACAATTTTGTAAAACTGGAAAGTAATATATGCATTCACTGGGTTACCATCAAAAAAATTTTTTTTTGCCTGAGAGAAATCTGTTTAATATATAATAGATCTGCTTCTTTATATCTGTATCTCTTAATGAAAATATTTTTAATTAAATAAACATTCATCTAAGTAAACTGTATAACTACCAAAGTCTTCCCTTTTAACAATTTGGATGTAAGAATAACTAATATTTTACAACCAAGAGTGATGGCATTTTTAAAGTATATTTTTCTCATATTTTTTAAAATATTGCTTTTAGCATATTTTGTTCAGTTAACAAAGCATATATGTGCTTCCAATTAAACCTTGACTAGAGCTTAGTAGAAAGAAAAATATTTATTAAATTTCTATGTCAACTCTAAATCTTTCTTTTTTTCTTATTTGGTTCATTTGATGCAAACACACTAATAGTGTAATATATTCTTTCTCAGTAGTGAATAATAAATTACTATTTTGCTTTCTCTATACTCATTACCTAAATGAGGCTTTAGATAGAACCAAATATAGTTACAATATCAAACACAACAATCAAAGGTAAAATACTTGCAACAAACCATACCTAGTAATAAGAACCGCATTATCGTGGTGAGCAATCCCATTTTCTGGAATGGTGTTTCCATCACTTTGGTGAGAGAGAATGGATTTCTGCCATTTACAGAAGCTATCGAGGGACTTGTCTGCATGGTGGTTTATCTCCAAGTTTGGCTGCAATACAACATGCATACCAGAAATGTTCCAAACAAATTACTAAGGTCACTTGTTAAAACTTTTGAAGACTAAAGTAGGACTATAATTAGAAGCAGTGGTTTCTAGGAATAATCTCTTGCCAATTTTTATCTCTGTGATATCTGACCTAAAGTTAATTTAATGTATTATTGAACAAACATTCTTTCCAGTTCCAGCTTTAATGATAATGTGAATATATGTGATTATCAGCATACAAAAACAACCAAAACCACTATTAGAAGGTCTGTCATGCAAATGCTCACCTTTATACTGAAACATACAGCTAATATACATATATATAGCTTTAACATGACATAAGAGGTATATTCTTGTAAGCTATTTAAAATTTGCTTAAAATATTAAATGCTTAGTGCTGAAAATCATATTCAACTACGACTTCCTAAGAGGAGCAATAATAAAATAAATTATTTTATAATACATAGTTCTACAGCCTGTCTGTTAGGAGTTTAGATTTGTAAACTAACTCATTCTTACCTGATCTTCTGTGAGAACAACTAAGCGGGCCACGATAATATTCACAACGTTTCCTAGGCTGGAATCACGGTAAAGTTTGGCAACCTGACCTCCAGAAAATAAGAAAAGACACAAAGTCAGACAAAAATCATAGGGTGATTGATTATTTTTTATAGAGTGGTAAAGCAATTTTTCATGACTTTAACCACTGTGTATATAAAAGAGTTTTCTTTTATCCCATATCATTTAAAACAATACCCTCAAGATGCCTCAGTAAAAGGCTTGTTATACAAATCCACCTCAAGAAATATTTTCTCCTAAAGATGAACTACAACATGCTAATTGAGAGGGTGAGCTGATGTTTTAGGTTAAAAAAAACCTCTTAAACAAAATCTAATACAAACTATTCAAAAAGTCATATTATCTGAAAATGAACAATAAAATCATCTTTAAATGTATTTTCTATGGAACTGAAACATGAGTAGATCAATGCTTTCTCAGGTTAGACCAGTAAATTCTTAGAATCATTATTTCACAATAAAAATCCATGACCTTAATCAAAAGCCACAACAAACTATTAGGTTAAAATATTATGTAGAGGGATCAAACTTACAATATTCATCACACTCAAAATGTAATGTTCAATGTCTTTGCGGCCATGGTAGCCCACCATCATCTTGTCTGCCACTACTAACGTCTCCACAAACCGCTCAGTGCTCACGGATCTCTTCTGTCTGTGGTGGATATGTGTGCCGTTAATTGGTAGTGCAGAAGGAAAGGCAGATGTGTCATTTAGCCACCAAGGTTTGCCATTTTTTATGAGGTCTACAATAAAAAAAAAAATTAACTAATTCAGATAGGTCCATTAGTTAAACTTATTTACTTATAGGTCTTTCATATAGACATGCTTCTCATAAATTCTCTTAACATATTTAGATTTTTCAAAGTGAGTGGAGGGGATAAAGCAATATGGTAGTGAGAAAATTATACTCCTTAAATTTTTCAAATTATATTTTCTGAAAAAAAATTAAACATGAATCATATTCAACTGCCCGTGAAAACAAAACAATAAATCTAATGAATTACTTAAGAGAAAAGAATTTTCAAATAAGCATTTCATAATATTCCAGTAAGTACTTACATCATTATTCTTTTAAATTTAGACTAGGTACTTTAAAAAATCATTTATAGTTGTTTAAAAAGCTACTAGAGTATTAACTTTCTAAACAACCTAAGATAGTTCTGATGAAGAATGTTAATGTTGCAAAATTCTATTCTTAAGACACTTTTGAGAATTTAAAGATGCTTTTATTAAACTATCTTAATTAAAACAATTCTATTGTTCTAGAAATCTCCATTCTACAAAGCTGTGATTTTTTTTCTTTTTTTCACTTAGTTTTGCGGTCTCTAACTACTTATACTGACAAAGTACTCAAAGGATTCCTTTTCCAAAACCTGGAGGTAAAGGGCATTAGAATGAGAGTTGAAAGATCATGATTCCAGTATGACTCACTTTAAACTACATTTTAGTGTGGACTGTATGTAGTTTATCTTTGGTTTTCTAGACCTTTGGTTCTTCAGTACACAGGAAACCTTGTAGTGCTCTGGCTCATTTACATTCCTCTTCACTTAATAAACTTGAGCAGTACAGGTCCTCTGCTTTCCTTATATCTTTATATACTTTATATACTTTGCTATCCTTATATTGAACAGGAAACCTTTCGAACCTCCAATTATTGAAAAATTTAGTGAGGAAAAATTAGATTAATTTATATGGTATACTTGACAGAAAGTGGCACTTTCTCTATTTTTCTAACTTCTTTAGCCTTTCCCTTTTAAAAATTACTTTGGTAGAAGTTATAAATTTTAAGACATAAGATGAAAAGGACCATGAGAAGTATCAGTCAAATATTTTTGAAACTTGTATAAAGTAGTGTCTTTATTCCTAAAGGTCAAGAGAAGCAGATACATACTAAATATTTCTTATTTTGATAGTATATGCCCCAGTAAGTATCCCCCTATGTTCAGTTGTGGCAGACAGACTCTTAAGGTGGCCCCCAGGACCTCTGCCTCCTGATGTTCACATCTTTTTGTGATCTCCTTCTCTTTAATATGGGCAGGACCTGGGATTTGTTTCTAACCAATAGAATACAGCAAAGATGATGAAATGTACAGGAGTACTGTACACAATTATGTTACATCATATTGTAGCATCTATCTTAACAGAATCTTTCCCTTGCTGCTTTAGAGGAAACAAGCAACCAAGTTAGTGAATCGTACATAGCAAGGAACTGCCAGTGGCCTTTGGCAAACAACCAACCAAAAAGCTAAAGCTTTCAGTCCTACAACAGCAAGGAACTGAATGCTGCCAAGAACCATGGCAGTGGAGAAGTAGATTCCTCCCCAGTCAAGACTCCAGATGAGAACCCAGCCTTGGCTGAGGCTAAATAGATAACCCTCCCATCCATGCACAGACACCTGGTCCACAGAAACTGGGACAGAATCAAAGTGTATTACTTCAGCCTTCGGGTTTGGAGTAATATTATGAAATAGCTAAAATCTTTTCTGCGTTACCTAACTCCAGTTTCTCCTGCTCACTCTCCTGTGATCATAAAACAACTCATGTATTCAAATCACGCTTAGTCTTCGCTTCCTCTGACTAGACAGCTTACATGTCTAAATATAAGATTTAATTTTCATTATTTTCACCATTTTCATTTCTCTGATCCAACCAGTTTCTCCTTGTTTTTATTTAAAGTATTATGAAAAGAATTACACACCACTGGGCAAAATAAACCCTTAGCAATGTTGTTTCTCATTTGATAGCATTCGGTATAAAGTAGGTGTTGTTATTATAATCATAATTTTCAAAATTTTCAAACTTTTAGCTTTTTAATTGTTAGTTTGCTTGCTATCACTCCATCAGACACATGTATATATAATGTCTTTGCTGGATATTCATAAATGAAAAGAGTTCTTATACTCTGAGAATTTGTAGTCCGATATACATACCATATAAGAACACTGAATGTATAAAATCGAGAGATAACATCTGCAGTTTCATTTTAAAAATTAATCCAGCATGATTAGATCATTGCAAAACAATATCTACATTCTATAATTGTCAATTGACTGCTTCATGTTAAGCTTAATGATCTGTAACTAATATATTTTTAGTCTAAAATAGAATACACAACTGACCTATTTTGTTTTGTTTCAAAATAAAGATTAGTAGTTCTTCAAATAATATTCATTACATATGCTTAATAGTTTAACTTTAAATAGAGTGTAGAATGTTTTAAAGAAAACATTCCTCCTTAAGCACATACAATAAAGAGCTTTCCCCAAAAAACTAAATACATGGATCTCTTTGCTGTCTAAAATAAGATTTTAAGTGATCAATTTCAAAATATTTTTTAATATATAGAGCCATTCAAGATTATCTCATTAACCTGATTTATTTTTCATTTATAGCATTTATTACATCTTGATAGTTGACCATGTATTTATTTATTTGATTGCTTATTTAGTTAACTGTCTCCTCATTAGAATATGTTTCACGTGAGCAGGGACTTTTCCTGCTTTATTTATTGCTACATTCCCAAACCTAGAATAGCCTTGCACATACATGCTAAGTTAATATTTATTTAATAAATTCAGAAGTAGATAATGCAGGTATAGAAACATAATATCTATATCAATGGACTATAAGAACATTCAACTATCTCTGGGTGATGGTAAAAAAGCAATCTTATTTCCCTTTTATATTTCTTTTTATCCTGTATTTTCTAAATTTTCTTCAAAGAACAGGTATCACTTTCAGAGAAATTTATCTCAGAGCTTAAATCGAACTAGAACAGGAAAACTCATATCTCAATATAAAATAAATATGCCCACAGTCAAAAAGTTTTTTACAGCTTATATTTTGATATAAACTTCAGTTCCCGATAACAGGTTAACTGACAATGTATGCCTATAAAGGCACATCTCACTTGAACTAAGCTGTTGAAACAGTATCACAGGGCCAGCTGAGTGCCTCAGTTGGTTAAGGGCGTGAGCTCTGAGTAACAGGGTCGCCAGTTTGATTTCCACATGGGCCAGTGAGCTGCACCCGAGCTGAGCAGCCAACAGGAGGCAGGATGGCTCAGCTGGTGAGAGCACGTGCTCCTAATAACAAGGTTGCCGGTTGGACTCCCATATGGGATGGTGGGCTATGCCCACCCGAAACTAAGATTGAACACGGCACATTGAGCTTAGCGGCTACGAGCTGATGACCGGCAGCCGGATGGCGACTGGACTTGGAGATGAGCTAGCTGCACCCTCCACAACTAAGACTGAAGAACAACAACTTGGATGTTCCCCTTCCCCAATTCCCCAATAAAATCTTTAAAAAAATAAAAAATGAAATAGTATCACAATTAGGATCAGTAGTTCTTAACCTGACATTTCCCATACTTACTGAACATACAAAATGCTTCTTTAACATCTAGGGACATTCCAATGAAATTAAGGAACTACTACCATAGTCCACTATTGGGAAGCCAGTGAAGTGTTTGAAAGCATGTAATATAGCCAGATTTAGGAGACAGACTTGACTAAAGACAAAGACAAACCAGGAGACAAGAAGACGAGTTAGAAAGCCATTATAGTGGTCTAGGCAAGAGATAATGAGGATCTGAACTAAAACAACTGGTTTTAGGGGTCGTAGAGATGGCTAGTGAATGCAATAGGTTAAAAGCAAGGACCATTTAGGAAACAGCCTCAGTAATCCAGGGGGAGAGATTGTGGAAGAAGAAAATCTTCCCCCAAAGGGGCAGAATTTTATGATGGCAATAAGAGTGGAGTTGGAGAACTGTTTAACTCATGCCTAAACCTTGAAAAATAAGGATTCGCCTGAGTAAGACCAGTTAACGAGATAGGCACTTCAAAAGAGGATAATCTGAATATTAAAAAATTATATCATAATAAACAACTAAATATTTAAATCCTAGTTTTTAAAAAAATTATATATAGTTGTACTAATAGCCTAACTTTTGTTGAATATAAGGTAAAGCAAACTATTTCCATAATGTTTAGTTTCATTACTCAATACAAACACCAATCAAACCTTTATTAATACTTATTATCAAATTTTATTTCTTAAGTGGGTTCACTTTCACTGGCCATTTTTCTAGTACCAATTAGTCTTGACCAACAAGGGCCTCTTGTAATTAAAAGCCTCAGAGACTACTCAAGAGAGAATGCGTTATGAGAACAGTCCGTTGAGGAAAGAACTTCAAAGAACACTTATGCTTGAAGCAGAAGATAAGGAGCCCATGAAGGATACTGAGAAGAAACAAAAGGGTAATGCATTCACCAATTTTAAGGCAATCCATTCCATATTTTACAATCTACCTATTGAATCCACCCTATTTTTCACTTAATCTACTTGTTGGTGAACTCTTCTTTGTGTTAAGCTAAAATCTGCCCCTAGTTCCAGTTACTAGAACTACACAGAACAAATCTAATCTTTTTAAAAATAATATAATAGCCCTTTGAATGCTAGAAACAGGCACCTCAACAATGATGATAGCTACAATTTGACTAACTAATGTGCACTGAGAGGAGTATGTGGAGAAGTTGGGTAATTTGTCCAAAGCTTATACCAAAGCCCATGTTCTTTCTACTATGCTAGACTATGCCCTCTGTTTCTCTAAGTTTTCTAACACTTAAACTAGACAATCTCCTATATCCCTACCTCTAGTCTTGCTTTTCTCTAATTCAGTCTCCAGATGGCTGTTAGAGTAATCTTCAGAAACCTAAACTTGAACATGTGATTCCTACTACGTAAAATCTCTCAGTGGGATTTCCATCCAGCACACTTAGGGTAAACGAACTCCTGAGTATGGTTTGTAAGTCCTTTGTGATCTGGCCCCTTCTTATCTCTTCAGTCATCTCTCACAGCCACTATGACTCTTACCCCTATTTCTCCAACCCACATTCTAATATCCAGTTATATGAACTGTCACTTCCTGGAACATGACATTCTTTCTTTAGGTTCAGCACCTTTGTAAATGCTGTTTCCTGAGAAGTGGGCAAAAAAATTAAAAAATAAAAATAAAAATAAATGCTGTTTCCTTTAGACAGAACCCATTGCTCCCTCCCCTTTTGCCAAGCTCCCTTGTCTTATCCCTTAGGCCTCAGCTTACAAGTTGCTTCCTCCATGAAGCCTTCTTTGACCACTGAAGTTTAGGTTTATTGTCCCTACTACATAGTTCTACAGTACCCTAACTATCACTACCTTTGAATACTACGTTAAAACTCTTCAAGTCGTATTCAAGTGTCTAGGTTCCTGTCACTAGCATAAAAATATCAGGCTAACCAAACAGCACAGAGTACTATGGAACACCTGTACATGAAAGCTGTAACTATTACCCAGGTAAATTAAGGTGTTTCTTTCTCCTTCAAAGAAAAAAAAATCAAATTTTACACAGACTTACATTTTAAAGACTTCTGAAAGAGCTTCCAAAATTGACTTCAAACTATTGATATGTGACATTTTTTTTTTTTTTTGGAAAATAAGGATATTTAGCTTCAGGAGAGTTTATATATATATTTTTTTTTAAAGATTTTTTTATTGGGTAATTGGGGGGATGGGAACAGTGCTGGGGAATTAGGGGAAGGGGAACAGACAAGCCGCTGTCATTCTTGTTCTTCAGTCTAGCTGTGGAGGTCGCCGCCCCACTGGCCCAAGTTGGCACCATCACTGCGCTCCTCCCTGGCGAGGCAGATCAGTCGCCGGCCTCTGGACGGCCGCTCACTGCGGCTGCTGGCCGCTCACGCTGGCTGCTGGCTACACACGGTAGCCCATGGCAACCCACTGCCACAGGGACTGCAGCCTACGCCGTCACCGGCGACTCACGGCAGCCCAGCTCCAGGTTGAGCTGTTGTTCAGCATCTTAGCTGTAGAGGGCAGTGTCACTGGCCCTCATATGTGGGATCCGAACCGGGGCCCTCTGGCATCCCAAGCGAGTTCCTAACCATCGTGCCACTCGGCCGGCCCGATATGTGACATTTTTTGAGGACTCTCGGCATTGTCATTTTAGTTACTCAAATTCATATTTACTTTTATTATTACCCTTACAATACATGCCAGACAAAAGAGGGTAGCAATACAATACAATATGCTTTCTAAATGCCACAGATTCACTTACCCGAAACCCCACAGTGAGAGTGATCATACAGATGTCGTTGCTGAAGGGTAGACTTTTTGTAAATCACATGGGGATGGCCATTTTCATAACTAAAATGTTTGGAATCTTCTGTGGTATTCTTTAATGGTTCAATAAAATATTCTTCATCTTCTGTAGCAATAACACCATGCTAAAATAAAAAGAAACAGAATTTACCAAGAAGAATCACTTGAAATATTACCATTACCAAAAGTGAAAAATAAATTTATATCCCTCCAAAAAAGTTAAAACACACGTTAATAGAAATTTAGTGAATTGTCCATACTCAGCAAACATTATATAAATTTTCATTTTCTTTAAAAAGGATGTTTAAATGCCTCTACATGCTTTGCCCTACACTAAGCATGACACACACATTATCTCCTCCAATCTTTCTAACAACTCTATGAGGTAGCAGAGACCTCTATGTGTTCACTAAGGCTTTTATTTCCTTTTCAAATTGTGCACACTTAACTACATCTTTTGTGTTTAGGTATAGCTTTGTAATTGAGCTTTGGCCAAAAGAAAAGGGGCAGAGTGTTGTGTATCACTTTCAGGCCCAACCCTTGAAAAGCTCCCCAGTGGAATTCTCCACTCTCTCTGAAAAAAAAGACCTGGGGAAGGTAGAAGCGAAAAGAGAAGGAACCTGGGTCCCTGAGTGACCTGATGAAAAGCTGTGCAACATAGACACTGATATAAGGGGGAAATAAACTTCCGCTGTGGTAACTACTGATATTTTAAGGTTTATGTTACACCAATTAATATGTCCTTAATATATATCCCACATATCCCCATTCTGCAGATGAAGTAACAGGCTCAGAGATTAACAACTTGCCAAATATCATATAGAGATCAGAGAGGGAGCTGGAATTCACACAAAGTTCTGCTCTCATTCACAGTATTATATTGCCTTATACCTATTTATTTAGCCAATTCCTACTCAGCTAAGTCACAGTTCCTCTTTAAAACTTGCTCTAGCCTAACTGGAGTAACTTCGCCCTCCTGTGAGCTCCAACAGAGCTTATTATTTATTTTTAATTAATTTATTTTTAATTAATTCCGCACTGCTTTGCTACATCTCAAGTCCTGAGGCTATATTTAAATTTGGAATAACTTTTCAACTGCATGTTTTATCTTCCAAACGATACTAGTCTCTTTCCTAAGGCAAACGGTTATGTCTCATATTTCTTTGTATCAATTACAGGCACAGTGTCTCAGATGTACTGTGCACACCAAATAAAAGTTTGCTGATTAAAAGAAATGAGATAGTAAAAGTTATCTGCATCAGAAATAAGAACTTCCATCCTTGTCTAATAGTGTTTTCCTAAATGTGGCACATGTGAGGACTGCCCTTAATCCGACTAATTTACCCTGTAACACTGGATAAAAAACAAACTCTCTGGGTGTATTTCCTCAGCTGGAAAAATGAAAGGGTTGGTGTAAATTAGTGGTTTTAAAACAGCACTCTGGGGAGCCCTAAGGGTTCCATGGAAGTGCCCTCAGGGGATTGCCCCAGACAACAAAGAGAGACCTACACGGCACGGATTCCTGGGCTTAGGAATCAACTGTGCTTTTATTAATCTATATATTAAGGTTCCACATAACATCTCATTTGAGAAAAGGGTTTGCTGCTTTAAAAAGAAAAAAAGCTGAAAGCCTCTAGTCCAGATAATCTCTAAGGTCCCTTTGAATCTAAGCCTCTATGATTCTGTTTAGGGAAATTCATGTTAAGTATCACATGCTTGGAAAAAAAGATAAGACATAGTCAGCACTACTCTAACTTTTAGATGAAGTTGGCAGCCACCTATACGACACGAATTAAGGATTGCAAAAACAAAACAAAACAAAAAAGCAGCCCTTAGTCACTTAGTAGTTTCACCATTGCTTGCTTTACTTTAGAGATATTAGTCCCTAAATTAAATGCAAGCACTGACAGAAAGAATATGCCATTAACAAACTCTAATACCTGAACGTGAATTACTTTACCGGGAAGATTAACAATGTGATAGTAAACTGAGCATGTTTTCCTGCAGAAAAGAAGGCACATGTTAGGAGTTTTGGTAAGAGGGGAGTGTAGGAAGTGGGCTCAGAGGGCTGCCGAGAAAAGGGAGAGCGCTAAAGTCATATCACGCTGGACTGTGAGAAGAAGAACATTTAAAGGTCCAGACAAGAAACTCAGGTTGCAGGGGAAAACAGTCAGAAGCCTTCTAACAACATTCTCTTATATCAAGAATGGAACAACTCTGGAAGAAAATCCAGAGATTTTGTGTTAGTTACTCTGTAAGATGTTCATACACGTTATCTCATTTAATCTTAATAGCTCTTTGAAGTACGAACTGCTATCAGCTCCTCTTTGCAAATGAGAAACCTAGACTGGGCAAAGCTAAGTAACAAACTCACTGGATTGACTTCAGAGCCTGTACTCTTAGTCACCATGGTATAATTCTATCCTCTGCAGGTTGCTTCTGACTTTATTAATTCACCAAGTATGTTGTGAGTGTCTTCCACATGGCAGGTACCGTTCTAGGCAGTATGGACACCATAGCGAACAAAACAAAGTTTCTGGTCTATCATGGAGCATACAATTCTGGTGGGAGGAGCTAGAAAAAAGCAATTCATTCTTTGGATAAGTAAATGATCAAACAGGTAGTGATAAAGGGTAAGATGAAAAATAAAGCAGGGTAAAAGGACAGAGTAATCAGAAGTGAGGGAGTTATACAAACTATTTAGGATGATCAGAGACATCGTCTCTAATAAGATGACATTTGAACAGAAACCTTAGTAAAGGAGCAAGCCAAACAGATACCTAGGGGAAAAGCAGACCAGACAGTGGGAACAGCAATGCCTGTGCATGGCAACGGGGTAGGAGCATGTGTCCAGTATTTGATAAATAGCAAGGAGCAACTTGCTAGGAGGGAAGGGGAAAATGGTTATGAAATTAGAAAGGTGCTGGAGGCCAGAGGATGAAGGAGCTGAGTTACATGGGAGTCCCAGAAATCTGTGCATCCTCCAAAGAGCCCCACCTGTCACTTTCCTCAGCATCCACACTCACCTCTACACTGTCTGCCTCAGGACTGGCAGGGTTAATCCCATCACGCTCGCTTTCCCGGCCACACCTGTCCTTACAAGAAGACCATGACCCACCCCTTGGGTTCTATTCCCTGTATGGTTATACACATCATGTGTTCTGATCTCACCTGCGACCTTCCCCCTTCACCATTTAAAATATTTCTACAGTGCCCTCTAAAACTCAAGATTAATTACCAACAAAATTTCCTGTGCCCTCAGCCTCATCTGTGAGTGTTCACTTCATCTGGCTCACACAAAAGCCTGAATTTCCCTAAATGACACTCTTTCTTCCCTGTAATCCTCTGGAAGGTGGCTGCTTTCTCTCCTACTTGCCTCCTATTGGACCCTGAAGTAGGGCGTGTGTCCTTGTCATTCAGTGCCATTTCCAAACAATTCTCCCTCTTTCAAAACAACAACAACAACAACAACAAAACCAAACAAACAAAACCTACCAGCTTTGCATCTCAAGCCATCACCTTCTCCCTTTGCTAGTTGTAGTTATCTACTGACCCAGAAATGCCTTCCTCATCCCTTACAGATTTTAGCTTCTGGATCACTGTCACGCTCTGCAGTACCATTCCTGAAATAACCATTAGTTTCAGTATATTCTTATGTCATCGCTTCTTAAGATTTGTGTGTACGTGTGTGTGCTCGTGCCTTGGATCCCTCTGGAAGTCTAGGGGTGAAGCCTAGGGACCATTTCTCTAAATAATATTTTAATTGCAGAACAAATATACAGGATTATAAATAAAACCAACTAAAGCAAAACACAGTTATCAAAAGATTTTTTAAGTGTAATAGCAATACATACGTCTTTTGTAACACTTTAAGATATGCAGTGGATTGAATAATTAACATAATTTCACAATAGTGATTAACATAAATAATCCTATTTTGAAGAACCTGCAAAAACTGTAAAATGACATGGAAATGTCTGTAATTTCTATCGGGGACAAAGTCAGTTACCGCTATTTCTACATTGGTTCATTAGCTATATTCATAAAAGAAGGAAATGTTAGATTTCAGTAAAGAATTAGTAAAATCGAAGATGTAATTTTCCCCATTCCATTACACAAAGCCCCTGAATGCTATCCATAGACCCCAGGATAAGAACTACCTACATAGATGGTCTCTTCAACCCCTACCCTCTCCATTCCTTGACCACCGCTCTTCCAAATATCTTGTACTTCACCTTACCTTAGACTCTCATGGATGCATATGGGGACACAGTCAAACCCTAGACTTCAGCATTATCAATATTTGCAATCTTGCATAGTCTCAATTTCAAGTATCCCCTTCTTCTATCTTTCCAGTACTGTCCCTCTAGTATCTTAACCCCAAGAGATAGCCCTTATGCCCACCTTGACCCACTGATCCTTTCCATTGCCCTCTACTCGCTTTTTGTCCTCATTTCCCTCCTTCAATTTCCTTGTCCTTTTTTCCCTTCATGGAATTTATGTGGCTAACCTACAACCCTGATTAAATCCAATATTGCTACTCTGAGTCTACACCATTGCAGCTTCATTTAGCCAGAGGAAAACACACCAACATGCTGACTAGTCTCACTTTAAATTCATCATCATAATCTCAATTGTGTCCTTAATGCTTCATGGCAATTATACTATGTTTCTCTGATTCATTCAGTATCCCACTCTCCTGGATAAATATTTCATACTTTTTCCTCTCTTCTTAAGCCCCTAACAGCTCATCTTTCCATCTTCCGTTCCAACAGACAACATTGCACAACCTCCTACGCCTACAACCACAAATACCCCACCTACCTGAATCTCATGTCCATATAATCTATTTTATTTCCTGTTATTATGAATGAGTTGTCTATTCTCCTAGTAAAGGCCAGTTATTCTAGTTATGCATATGATTCCATCCCTTCTTATCTATCAAGAACATCACTCCAGAAATTTCATTCTCTCTACATAATCATTCCTATTAAACAAAACAAAACCTCCTGTAACCCTTACTTCTGCCTGCAGCAACTGATCTTTTCTTGCTTTTCCAAAATTCCTTAAAATAATTGTCAATATAGTCTTTTCTTTTCTCCCATTCCTTCTTAATCCTACCTCA